AAACCTTCCAGCTCCTCTTCTATTAAACCCACCTTTTCTACCTCTTTTTGAGCCAAATGGTTTTCTGTATTCTTGTGCCTTTTCTTCTAGCCAGTCTGGGATTTCTTGTTTTGCTTCTTCTAATAATGAGACTAACGATGGTATTAAATTTTGGGTTTTATCATTAATGAAAGTAATTGCTGTTCCTTTTTTACCAGCCCGTCCAGTTCTTCCGACACGATGGACATAACTCTCAATTTCATTTGGCATATCATAATTAATCACAACCTCAATGTCTGGAATGTCTAATCCTCTAGAAGCAACATCAGTTGCAACAAGTAGTTGAATAACATTTTCTTTAAACCTTTTCAATGAAAAGTCACGATCAGCTTGAGAACGATCTCCATGAATACTATCTACTTTGTATCCATGATCATATAAATAATTTTCTAACATATCAGCACCTTTCTTTGTTTCAACAAAAATAACTGTTTTCTCACCTTTTCCAGCAAATTCTCGTAAAACATCTAAAATAGCTTCTTGTTTTATTTGTTCTTCAACCCATAAAATAATTTGTTGAATTGATTCAACAGTACTTCCTGCTCTTCCAACAGTAATAAAGACATAATTATCTAAGAAATCTGCAGCAAGTCTTTGAATTTGTTTAGGAAAAGTAGCAGAAAACATTAATGTTTGACGTTTTCCAACAGGTGGCATTTCATTATCTTCACAAATTTCTCTAATTTGTGGTTCAAATCCCATATCAAGCATTCTATCAGCCTCATCAAAAATAAGATATCTAACAGAAGATAATGAAACAATTTTCTTTTCAGTAAAATATAATAATCTTCCTGTAGTAGCAACAAGAATATCACATCCTTTTCCCATTTCTTGAATTTGAATATAAGCATCAGATCCTCCATAAACACATACTGATCTAATTGGGGTATTTTCAGTGAATTTAACTGCTTCTTCATAAATTTGTTGTCCTAATTCTCTTGTTGGTGCAAGAATTAAAGCAACAGGAAATACAGTAACTCTATGTGATAAATTTGCTTGTCTTGGCATTGGTGGATTTTTAAGAATATCTGAAATAATAGGAAAAAGGAATGC